CACTCCCTCGTGACTCCAGAAGGACTCATGCCTCAGCAGCAGGGCTCCGCCTCTGCACCGCTAGCTTGCCTGCCGGCTCCTCTCTCCTCTGGATGCTACACGCCAGATGGCAGCGCTTTCCTCCTCTCACGTTTTCCACTCTGCTGCAGAAGGCCCATGAGGCAAGGTTCTGAGCATCCTGCACACTGCCCTGCAGCCCAGACTCTCCGGACCTGGGCCTGCAGCACCAACACTGAACCGAAGCCTGTCACACCCACGGAGCCACTGTCCTGGGCCCAGAGTGCTGGAAATCCTGGATGAATCTGCCTGCAGAATCATGTCGGCCAAGCTCCAGGGGAAAGGCATATTTTATGGCTGTACAAATATGGAGAAGCTATGGAGCAGAACCTAAAACCTTGATAAAGGGTTGGATGAAAACCAGAAACATGAAATTCCATCACTCTCGACTGGGGACAGGAGAGGGGTTCTAACAGAATTTCTCCTTTGCACTCAACAAACATGCCTTAGAGATTCATGTTTGTGTGTTTCATGAGGTACATGGGAGGAAGTGTCACACTCGGAATGCTGTGTTCCACTATGAGCTGCTTCTAGTCTGTCGCTCACCACTGCCATCCCCACCAGCACCATCTCTCTGTCTATTACAGAGCTGGCCCAAGCTCTGGAAGATTCAGCTCTTTTCTTAAACTTGTGTTCATGACTAAGTATAATTCATCTTTTTATCAACGTGTGCTTTGCTATATTTTAAGTTTAAACTACACTACTGTTAATGTAAGGGACAGTAATTTAGCACTATAGGTAAGAACTCATATTAAATAGTGGTCATACCACCCAATTTTGGACGCCAGTAAGTAAAGATTCTCTGAGTTTACACACTGAACAACACAATGTGCTGCGTATAAAGAAGGCCAAGATGAACGAGGCACAGGACCCAGCCTCAAAATGCCCCTCCTCCCTGCTGTGGGGGACAGTCGAAAGACAAAGAAGGGGCTTGGAAGTCTTGTGAGCTGAGGACACACAGAGGTAAGAAGGACGGCTGTGTCCACAGCAGGGGGAAGAGGCAGGGGCGGCTGTGGAAGCAAATGGCCAGGAGCCATGCCTTCAGAAGTACATCAGGCACACGGAGGGTCATATTTCAAGCCAACACGTCACTCTGAAATGGTCCAGGGATCCAAGGAAACTAGGATCAGTGCAGTGTGGCAGGGGCAAAGGGTAAAGGGCAAAGGGCGAAGGGAGGAGAGACATGACGACCCTTGGGTAGCACGTCAGCTGCCCCAGGCTACCACATCGGAGGAGCTTAGCTTAAGGCACCAGGGCCTTGGATGTCACTGGAACAGCTTTAAAATTGAACTCTTAAATCTCCATCTTATATTGCAAGGGACCAAGGACAGATGCTGCCAAGCGGCTTCCACGGTCCTGGCTTTCAGTCTCAGAGGTACGTGCAGAGTTCAGAACGGGGCACAAAACATCAAAGCACCACGAGGCGCTGGACTCTGCTGTTACTCAATGGGCAGCACTAGTGCATTTTTTAAAAAAAGGGGAGGTTTCAGAGATGTCTCCCTGGCAGCACAATACTCTGAAAGTAAAAGGCAGGATAAGAAAATTCTTGCAATGGTATGAAGCAGTGATGGTGGCATCTGAACTAAGAAACATCAGGAGTAAGAGACACTGCGTCCCTTAACACTTTGGCTGGCACCCCGAGGGGAGGTAGCCACAGCTGTGTTGCTAGCAGTCATTACTGGCAGATCCCTTCTTCCTGCCAGTGGCACTGTAGCATTTTTTTTCTTTTTTTTTTTCTTCTTTTTTTTTTTTTTGTTTTAGGAAGGGTGTACAGAGTGTTCAGTGTCTCACTACTAGATCGGACTTGTTGTGATCCGCCTGTTTACAGCCTCCCAAGAGGTGGGATTACAGGCATGTGCCACCATGCCCAGCCTCAATTCCCCTCTCAGTGTGCCCTGCGGGCAGGGGCACAGCCAGCACGGCAGGCCCGGGGAACTAATCCCTAGTTCCTATGCCTGCTTGCAGGTGCTTTAATCCGCTGAGCTATCTGGCTGGCCCTCACTGTAGCATCTTCCACTGACAATGCCAAATACCATAGTAGCTTGGGTCAAGAATGCTTCTGTCTGCAAACAATTGCGTTAACACAAAAAAATATTCAGCAAAATTGTGCTTGTTTGCAAACTCCAGGCTGAGTGATAAACACAACCACAGGCATGTTCCCCACACAACACAAATGCAGCTGTCTTCCCTCAAATTGCAACAAATTAAGTTCAGCAACCAAGGTATCCCATTTGGACCTCAGCTGGTGCAAATGTAAGAGGGAACCTTCAGAAACAAACCTGTCTTTTACCATGTGACCTAGCCCAGGACTCACTTCACTTTTCAAAGAGTGTCGCACCGCTTGTGCAAGCACCAGGTAAAATGTGAAGGCACCTGAAAACTAGGCGGCACTATCAAAAATCAAACACAGGAATTATCAGTAGAAGAAGTGAAGGTACCAGAATACAAGATGGGTCTACTTTCTCTAAGAAAAAATTTCCCATGTATTCTAGAGATCTTCAGATATACCAGGAAAGGGAGGCAATGGCATTTCTTGCCAGGTTTATTATCAACAAGTCAATATATTATTCTTTGTTGGTTGGCTTTGACTCTTAAAAGTAGTTCTGAGCCTCAAGTCTGCTCAGGTTTCTGGCTCTATAAAACAAGTGAAATCACAATCTTCTGAGCTGCCAGGTTCAGACTACTGTGTCTCCTTTCTGTTCCAGCTCACCTCACATTTCCTCCTCCTCACTCATCTTTTTTACCCTTTTTGGACTCGATACTTGTGTCAAGAACGAGTTATTTCATCACTTAGCACTCTATTTGCAGAACATGATGCTAGATATTGCATGCCTTTCCAAAAGAAAAATAGCTTTGGGATGCTAAAAACCAAAGAAAGGTATGTGTGCATTTAACTTTTAGAAGAGTCCTGAGGGTTCCCTTTCACCTTCGTATCAGTGGAGGTCCAAACGGCACACACCTGGCGAAGAGGAAAGGCTGATATAAAAGATTACTGAGCTGTAAAAGGGTATGGACTCCTGAAAGAGGAATAGAGACAACAAAAGCGTGCAGGCCTAGCAAACACAGGCACCAATCACTGCATCCAGGGCATGGAAAAGCGGAGAACTTAGAAAAACTCCTCTCCAGCTTGGACTTCCATTCTTCCAAGGACCAGAGTCTATTCTCTTTGGAGATAAGGCAACCATGGTGCTGCTGTACTGTGCTGACATCGAAGCAATGTTTGAGGTTCTGTCTGGCTCTGCGAGTCCCAGAGGCACCGGAGGAACAGCATGCCACCTTGACTCTCAGCAGATGCTGCAGCGTGAGCCTCTTCCAAGCCAATCTCCTGCTACACTGCTCTGCTTTTGTCCTAACTGATCCTATAAAGGGGCAGACCCAAGGTTTAGGGACAATCCATTTATCAAGTTGGTTCTATACACAGCACACAGGTGGCTTTGGCTGTGGCCTGGACAAGAACCACGTGGATTTGAACAGACGTGAGCCTTACCCTTCATTAGGTAAGTAGTCTTCTTCAAATACTCCTGTGTCGTACACGAACTTCCTCACCTATAAAAGAGGTCAAAAGTCTCCTTCTTGAGATGGCCGGAGAAATAAATCCACAGAAGCGAAGCCTACAGAAGAACATCTGACAGGTCATATAATCGGGGCTCCGCGCATTCAGCATGTGTCTGTCCCATTCTCACTACCAGTTCCACATGGGACGCGCTTTATAACACTCGGTTTGGGCTTGAGGAGGTCTGGCTTCTCCAGTTCGGCCTGCAGCTCCGGTGACAAGCGCTGCCTTGCGGGCGGGGCAGGCTCACCCAAGCACCTTCCCTCAAGAGGTGTGAGTCCTGGAGGTCAGCCTCCTCCAGCAGTGAGCACAAACAGGAGGCTCAACAAAGTTGCCTGTCTGCCATCGCCTCCAGCTCCGACCTAATCTGATCTCCCCAAACAGCGAGGGAGACAATGAAGAAGGAAACTGCCACAGCAAACGCCTACCCGGTGTGCCAGCCGCGCGCCTGGCATCTCCAGCGAAACGGAGGAAAGTGAGGCCAGGAAGGTCAGCTTCCTCCAGCTCCCGCGCCTCTGAGCATCAGAGCCCTGCCCAAACCCTGGCTCTGTTTGGGTTCTCCACGACGCTGCCTCCCACCAGCCTTCATCTCAGATGTCAAATCCCAGCCTCTCAACGCTCTGATTTAGAGAGATGAGTGGGTGTGGAACTTTTTTTTGTCTGAAACGTCTTATTTGAAAGTTAACCCAACGAAAATCACAAGTTACAGGACGTTTTAAAGATCACTCTGTCTCGCAAGCCCTACTGGAGAACTGCAGCGCCGCGCCCCACCCGAGCCCGGGCGAGGGGCTCCGCGCCCGCCGGCTCCTCTCCCGCGCCCTCCCCGCCCCCGCGCCCCTCCGGGCTCCCCGCTCTGCGCCCAGCGACCCGCCCCCAGCTCGCGTCCGCTTCTCCCCCGCAGACTTCCCTTCCCGAGAGGACTTCTGAGAACTTCGCGCGAGCGCGACGACGCCCGCCAGGGACCCCCTCCCGCCGCGGGCTGCGGCTCCCGCCGCGCGCCTCCGCCGGCCTCTCCGCCTTCACTACCGGGTCACGCGGCGGCGCG